AAGAACAAGAGCAACAAGATCATTTTTTTTAAACTTCTTTTGTTTAATATGAAACTAACAGTTTAATATGAAAAAAATGTATTTAAAATGTCTGCAACATAATTTTAGGTACCACAGGAAAATGGACCGTGACAACTATACTCTCACAGTTTTGTTGCTGTGTGCTTAGCAGTAAATGTTTTGCTAAAAATTTTAATTAACTGAATTATTAAGAAGAACCTTATGTTCCATTGCTCTAATATTATTGGATATGTATCATTATCATTGTTCCTTATCTTGAAATAAAATATAAATATGTCAGACTCACTGTAATTTTATGCTACATTGACTGTCTAACTGTGTTTTAATGCTGTACATTTTAACTAATAATAATTGAGAGAGCTTTAAATACTCTGAACTGAAAGTGTCATTTAAATAGGGGTTAAGTGTGTAAAGTCCATGAACTGAATGCATTCACTGATGGATTGCAGAGAAGAGCTCTTAAAATGTAAAAAAAAAACTACATATCAATATCTTGACATCTTCCATTTCCTTTAAAATAAAGAGTTGTGTCTTTGCTTGACAAAGAAACTGCACTAACACCCTGTGACAGCAGCAGGGTTTGTTTGAATTGGTAACTGATGAAGTCAGCTGATCGCAGAGTTTGGCCAGTAATTGCAGATCGTCCAAATCTGCTGCCAAATGATCAAATTATTGCCATATGCCCTTTTGACCGCTGTGTTGGTTGCTTTCATGAGGTTCTGGGAAGATTCATGATATCTACTAAAAATTCCCATGTTAAAAAAGATCTGAAATATAGACTGATGTTAAAAGGGGAAAGAAAACATTGTTCTTTCTCTCTGGGCTTGTGGTTTAAGAGTATCACCAGCTAAAATTATGTATTTATTATGCTGGGATTTCGCACCTCTAGACTGCAGTTCCAAACATCTGAAGTAACTGAAATCTCCTAGTATAATGTGTGTGGTGTATAACATTACACCGTGTCCAACAAACCTTACTTGGTCTTTAACTGCTTGCTAAACTTAATTTACATTGTATTGTATGTGAAGATCTATAGAATTCCAGGGTTAAGTGGAGGAATATTATCAGCTGTATGGTTTTATGATTGATTTCTTTTCTGTTTTAAACAAGCCAGTTGGAAGTGTATTGTAATTCAACGTATTCCCGTGTTGTCTGAATTTCTGTGAGGTCTGTTGTAGGCTGGCATGCCGTTATTTCATGTCTCTTTGAAGAGGCTTGATGGAATGGTAGAATGATCAGGAATGCATTTTATAATACAGCAAAACTATCTGTATAACAGCAAGTAATGCTGAGCATTAGCTATGCTAGTTTTGCATAGCCAAAAGCTTCTCTCTCTACCTAACACCTCCCTATGGAAGTTCTGAGCTACTGCATGTTACTTACAGTACCTGCACACCGAAAGACACTGCAATGTGATCAGACTATAAAGCAATCCATCTGCTATCTGCAAAGCATAGTCACATTGGCGTAGAACAGATTGTTTTCTTATGAGAACACGCTGAAGAATGTCTCCTCTTATGCATATGGAAGGTATATTGTTAGTTCTTTTAACAGCAGCTAAACTGTTTTAAAAGGTGGGGAGGAAACCTGAAATGTTTTTTGGAGGGTTTAGTCTTCGGATTGATTGGTAAGGCTTGAGGGGGCATGCTGATGGCTAGAGCTTATGTGTAGCTTTCATAGTGGACAGCCAGGCAGTTTAAAGGCAAAATGTGGATTAGAATGAAAGCAAACTGAATCACAGGAAAGACAAAATTAACCTATAAACTGAGAAATATAACATTATATTCTGTTCTAGGAAATTTGCTGTATTTGGTCTTAAAGAGACCACATCTATTTTTTAAAAATAAAAAGCTATGGCTGGTTAAAGTACCAATAACAATACCAGTTTTAGAGATCGTGAAAGATTTTTATTTATATTTTTGGATGTCTGGGAAATCTGTTCATAGCTGATGACAGGGTCAGATAAATTTGCATTTGTTTTATCCATGATGTTTAGGATTGTCGTTAACTCTGGTTCTTGGCATAGTTTTTTTTAATGAATACATACAGTAAGGTATGCAGTTACATATCAGTTTCTTTATGATATTAGGAAAGATGTTAGAAATACAAGATTTATTGATATTTAGATAGAAGGCTAGGCTGGAAAAGTGGCAAAGCTTTAATTGGTAACATCTGGTAATAGGCATAGTGTCCTCTTTCCTTTTTAGACTAAACAACATGCAGCAAAGAAACACAGTTCACACAAGTAAAATGTACTGAATGTTCTGAGAATTGTGACTTTAATGTACTGTATTCTGCATTTCTCTTTACTCTGGCTGCCATTGTGTCAAACTGAACTTGCTCTTGAATATTAAGAATCGAATACTAGAATGAGTTTAATAAAGTGCACCAAATGATGTGTTTTGACTTATTTATTATTTCATACTATACATACATATTTAATTTTTAAATTATACAGATTAGTTTGTTGGGAATAAATGTAGTTTTTCTAGTATTTATTATTTATAAAAAGCTGTTTAGGAAAGATAAAAGCCTTTATGTTTCGCTATTTAAATGCAAATTTCCTCATCAGATCAAAAGTATTTACTATGGAGAAAAAGCAGCAGTACAATCTATTTTCATTCTTCATTGACTTCTCTAAATGCTTAAAGACAATTATCAAGTTAAATAGGCAAAACATAATTTGGTTGGAAAGAATAAACTCTGCTTCCTTTTTTTGCCTCATTCAATTAATCATACTTTATGATTTCACAGAATATAGTGATATTTGGTTATTTCTTAAACTGTTTCATTTACTCCCATTGAAAAACAAATGACACTTAACTACAAAGGAAAGTGTGAAACGCTTGATCGGCTAAATTATTGGGTTTTATTGTAAATCATAGTAATAGTTATTTGATAGTCAATCAGAATTAATAGATTTGGACTATACTCTTATACGTACTTGTTATTAACTGTAATAGCGCAGGTAGTAATGAAAGAATTAGCAGTAATAGTAGTAGTATTGTACATTTGTGTTTTTATTTTCGTGGAATTGGTGTTTGGAAGTTAACGAGACCATATAAATGTGGTTTGGAAGCAGTTTCTAGTGTACGAAATTGAGAGTGCAACTGAGGCGCTTCACTTCTTCCTTTTAACTTCTCTTTGTGGGAAAAGCTGGAAAAAACCACAACAGATAAGCCTTTGAACACTTGCTCTTTTGAAGCATGGCAGAGATATTAAAAGGAGAAAAAGTATGTTTAATTAGAAATGTGGGTGGTTTTTGAAGAGAGAAGAGTGTGTACTGTATGTGTGCGTTGGGGGAGTCATTTTTAATAAGGTAAAGGAGGAATAAAAAAGGACATTAGCCAAAAGCTGGTTAGTTGTTGGTTGCTAAAATTTGAAAATGTAAGACTTACCTGATAGACTGGCCCTCTTTTACTTTTTTTAATATGAGGCTTTTGCTTTGTATCACCAAAACTTCAATGTGAGGTTTAAGATGGAGGGAGTTTCCGGTTTAAGAGTACTTATGCATTAGTTTTAGTTAAACTTATGGGTATGGCATGAAAGACAAAACAACAGCAATAAAACTTGGTATGGTTGCCACATTATTAAGGGATTATGCAGCAGAAAATCAGCTAAGCTGGTTGCTAAATGGGAAGTGAATAACTGGTTGTCTTGCTGTTTGGATTAATCTGAAGTTCACAAAAAGAGAGACTCTTTGAGAATGGTCACCAGAGTAATTGTGTGGTTCTTGGATGGACTCCCGTGGCCTTCTTTTTGAAACCCAAGAAACTGGCTTAACACACCATATTCTGGATGCCCAATTTTAAAAGCAAGTCACCCAGATAAAGCAGAGTTTTAATGCCTTCACTTTTTCTGTTCGGTTTGCATGAAATACTCGATACACCGCAAACGAACCGCTGCGTTTACCACTTTCATCTGTCAAATGCCGTTTTGGGTTAGCATTCACTTTTGTCTGGCAAGTGAGCAGAAACTTTTAATTAGAGTCTCCTGTAAAATGTTATTCGATGCAAAGACCCAGGATTTGATAAACGATTGCTTGTCATAACTGCTTTATATCAGCACAGTACTTTCGCAGGTATTGTGCTATTCGTATTCCTTAAAAAAATATTTGATCCATTTCAAAGTACACATACTGTATTAGACTTTTTGTGACACAGTAGTTTATGAAATGTAGGAGTACAGTAGCTCCTCCATTGCTGGTAATTATATTTATTTGTAGATGTTTACAATTAGATGCCAAGGCTTCCGTTTGTTAAAAAAATGTAATGATAGGAGACTTCTCTTGTTTTTTCAAAGCTTACTGTTTTTGAGTATGTGTGCTAATATTATCTTTAGTTTTAGGCAATAATGTTTAATGTTTTTTACTGTTGTCAAGCTTTTTACAGTTTTGCTCTGAAATACTGTTTCTCGATGCCATTTTTTCCCCTCTATCAAATATGTGCTGTTGGATGCTTATACCAGCAATCTGTACCACCTTATGCAAATATTATTTGTGTGTCTCTGTTTTTAGTCTGTAAACTCCTGTCTGGTCTGTGTGAAACTGCCTCCCATTCCTTGGCTTTTACCAGAATTTCCGCATAAACAAACTTAAGCATTTTTGTGGTAATGCACAGTTTTTGAATATAATATTTATTTTTATGTTGGAGATGAATTGCTTCCCGCCTGTTTAGCTAACGTTCTCTGTTTCAGTGAAGAGTACTTGTAGGGTGTAGGGGCTGACTGATTTGTGAATCAGCACGTTTCTGAAAAAAGGCAGTTTGTTTTCTTGTGTGGTCAGAATAGTGCTGACCCTGGTTTTAAAACAAACGTAACTCATACCTCAAATAGGAAAAGTCATAAACGTCCGTTGAGCATAGGGTTTCCTTTTTACTGCAGCAAGATAATGTAATCCAGAATAGAGTCGATTTTTTGGGGGGTTCGAGTCCAAGCCAAAATTCCTTATCCCATTTTTACTCCGGCTTATTTCCTTGCAGATTTACACTGATTGGGCCAATCACTATCTTGCCAAGTCTGGTCACAAGAGGCTGATCAAGGACCTGCAGCAGGACATTGCAGACGGAGTTCTACTGGCAGAAATCATCCAGATCATCGGTGAGACCCCTGTATCAAGCTGTGGAAACAGCAGCACAGAGCTTGTGGAATTTTTCAGCGTCCACTGCCCCTTGCCTCTGAGGGAATGCTGCATAACATATCCCGACAAGGTCAATCCAGCTCAATGGGCTGGGAAAGTCCTTTAATATTCATATGAAGAAAAAAATATTCTGAGAATTTAAGTGGAAGCCAAAGGGTTCGTTTAGTTCAATTTCAAACTCCAGCTAAAGCAGCAGCAAAAACCTATCGCCTAGCACATAAAGCTGGATTGTAAAATATTTATGTGCTATTAAACCATGTGTCTCCCATGTGTGCTTTTTGCAGGCTTGGAGTGGCTCGTGCTTTTTTTGGGGGGGGGGGCTGTCTTGAAACTTTACCCCGGCCCTTGAAAAAGACAATCGCTATGGATTTTATGTCAGTAATCATTTGGCAGTGGCTGATGAATTAGCAGACGACTTTCTTTTTTTAACTTCCCTCCTATTATATGGGAGCTCATGGAATCCATCTCTGAGAATGTTATTTCCTAACACATGTTGAACTATATACTGCAGCATCCCACAGCAAGTGTTATTTTTTAGGTCTTGCTGGTAACGGAGAGTTCTCTTACCCAATATAATTCTTTTTTTGTAACTTTTTTTATAGCGAATGAAAAGGTTGAAGATATCAATGGCTGTCCCCGAAGTCAATCTCAGATGGTGAGTTGCAAATTTTGGGGATTTGTGTTTTTGATATGTTCATGGAAGTACAACTGATCAAAAACTCATATGGTATGAATACCATTACAGTCTGTGTGAATTTGTGATTTTTATGGTTATTTTACTCTGCTTTAGTGTCAGTAGAAACTTTGTTTGCCTTATTTCTGTCAGTCTAATACAAAAGAATACAAATGGTACTATTTAAACTACCTTTTGAAACAAAAGTAATAGCAACAAGAAAAATGTCACTAACATGAAACTGGCTATACATACAAGGAAAACAGCACTTATATTAATAAAAATTAAAACATTTTTTACAAAACAGGTTAGATTAGATTGCATTTTTATTTCTAGTCTTCTTGTGGCAGTAGCTAATTTTGCAATAAATTTAGTTGCACATAGCTACTTGATAACATAAAATGAGCAAATCTCTTCTTAGACAATGACCTAAGTCATATCACAACTGTAGCATAAAATCCCATATATTATTTCTTTCAGTTATAGTTGTAAAATCACCAAAACCCTGACCACTTAAAAAAAAAAGTTTTTTTTTGTTTTCTTTTGTGTGGATGATGAATTTTACTCTTCCAGGTTTTCTCTGGCCCATGTAATTAAAGGGGACTTATATTTTTCATATTTTTTACTTTGAGTGCCAAGATCTCTGTTTCAAGTCTCCCGCTCTTCAGTGCTCTGAAAGGAGATTTTCCACGCTGCATTTGTCTCTCAGAACAAATGACTAACCAGTGGGGTTCAGTCTCGATAGGCTGCTGCTTGCAACATATAAATAGCATTCAGTCTGCCCATAAGCAGGTCAGTTTTGACTTGTGGGTCACCAAGGGCTTTCACGAATAGCACTCAAGTTATGAGAGAGCTCGGCAAATGTGGTATGGACCTCTTTTCTTAAGTAGAAGAGAGATTTTTCTTTTATTTTTGTTGTGTGAGTTGGTCACCCGTTCTTTTTCTTTGTATACCCAGAAGGTCATGCTTGCTCACCTGTTCTCTGTATCAATTGATGCGAAACTTCATTAGAAGCAAGTGCAAGCTCTTGATGTGTTTTTGTTTTGGAAGCAGCAAGGGGTAATGTGATATTGTCAGCCTGATTTTACCCATCGGTGTCAAAGCTTCATGCTCCCACTGGATTCTTCTTGCACACTTCACCTTATTGTAGGGCACGCCAGTCTGTCACCAGAGAGGCTTCAGATCCAAGGTAAAAACAAATCACACTGAAGTGTTTCTTCTGTTTATTGCTGTGTGGTTTGAGCTTGGACTGATGCTGGAGTGTGCTGTATGCTGGAATGTGCTCAGCAGGGGAGGCGCAGTAGTGCTGGCACGTACTGTAACTACAGAGTTTTAGACAGACAAAAGTAATTTGCTAGAAACGACTGATTTGATGCTTTTCATGGAGCTATAAATGCTTAAAGACAAGAACAGTCCTAGTGTTTTGTTCAAGTGTTTATCGCCTCATACTTTTTTTTCTTTATTTCTCTTTATTTCTTTATGACATAACAATCCTTTTAGGAAGAAATCATAAAGGATTTGACAGTGTTTTTGACGTTATGCAGTCTATGCACAGAACAAGTTAATTGATATAGTTGTGGCTTTGGCTTAGTGACATGATCAAGCTGAGAGAGTAATAAACAACAGTACTGACCATAATTACACTTCACTGCGTTGCAATTGTGGGTCCAAAAACGTCAACATGTTATTGGATTGTCATCTATGTCTTCCTGCATACTCAGAAATACTACTTTTTTATTGTGTAGTTTTTTTTATTATGTTTGCATTTACTCATAAAATAATACACAAAGAACATTTTAAATTGCATGCTTACAAAAATCGTTTAAAGAGCTTCGTTGCCTCCTGGGATTATCAATTGATCTAAATCTGACAACACTTTCAAATTTTCAGTGGCATCTTGTCTCAGTTGTAATTGCCCCTGCACTATATTTTCTGGAGTGCAAGGAGTCGTTAGTTATTTCTGTTGACACTTGACACTAAAGTCGTGCGCAGCAAAATAACTTACATATAAAGAATGGCTGTAATTCCACCCACATTCTATTATGTTGGATGCCAGGCATGCCTTTTTAAATGCGCATCTGAAGTGGAGTGTTGGAGTAATGGAGGGGTGCTGCTAATCCAGCACTATTGAATGTTAACCCCCCCCAGTGTGCTCACACTCTTTGTTTTATGCGAGCATTAAGGTTGTATTAATGACCAAAAAAATAGATTTACTTCCACCAGGTGTTCCTCCTTTAATATTCCCCAAATAAGGGCTCGATATTATAGCGATTTGCGGTCAGAATCTAGATTACATTAATTAACCCTCCACTTTATCCAAAAATTGTGTTTGAAAATTGTGTTTAGATTTAATCTGAGAAGTGCCAAGCAAGTTTGCTTTTTCGTCCTTTATCAGGATGATACATTGTACAGTAGGGCAACTTAAAATATGATTCAGGCATCTTATCAAGATTGTTGTTCATTAGGGATAAACTGAATCCATGCAGTAAATTAAAAAGCATGCATTGAATAATAATAATAATTGCTTACACTTTTATACCGCTTTTCTGGACACTCCACTCAAAGCACTTTACAGGTAATGGGGACTCCCCTCGACCACCAGCAATGTGCAGCATCCACCTGGATGATGCGACGGCAGCCATGGTGCGCCAGAACGCCCACCACACACCAGCTATCCGTGGGGAGGAGAGCAGAGTAATGTAGCCAATTCATAAATGGGGATTATTAGGAGGCCATGATTGGTAAGGATCAATGGGAAATTTGGCCAGGACGCCGGGGTTACACCCCTACTCTTTTCGAGAAACGCCCTGGGATTTTTAATGACCACAGAGAGTCAGGACCTCGGTTTTACGTCTCATCCGAAGGACGGCGCCTGTTTACAGTATAGCGTCCCCGTCACTATACTGGGGCATTAGGACCCACACTGACCGCAGGGTGAGCGCCCCCTGCTGACCCCACTAACACCTCTTCCAGCATCAACCTTAGTTTTCCCCAGGAGGTCTCCCATCCAGGTACTGACCGGGCTCACACCTGCTTAGCTTCAGTGGGTTGCCAGTTGTGAGTTGCAGGGTGATATGGCTGCTGAATGTCAGTTGCTATGATACTGATTACGTCTCACCATATTACTTTATGGGGTGGCATGGTGATAAAGTGATTAGCATTGCTGCGGAGGTCCTGGGTTCACTTCCGGACCTGGGGTGCTGTTCCCACGGAGTTTGGATGTTCTCACTGCGTTTGCAAGGGTTTTACCTGAGTGCTACATTGGTGTGAGTGTGTGAGTGTCTTTGTCCAGGGTGTATTCTGCCTTGCACCCGTTGCTTGCCAGGATAGGCTATTGCATAGTTATTGCTATGTGGTTTTACCATTACAAATTCCATTTGAAGTTTGGGTATGTTGAACAGTGCTAAATTATATTCATTTTGCAGACCACTTTTTGTACTTCCATTCATTATACCAATATTAAGGAGTCTACTTGCAAGTAATGTTACCATGTGATTCATTGCGATTCTTTTTTGTGGTACAACTTCTGTACTTCTGCAATTTGGTAAATATGGACTTTTTAGCAAAAGCAGTATCATAATGTTCTGAAACTATGGGGCTACAGCTGTCATTGGATTGTCTAGTGAAGTTATTAATTCTGAGCCAAACTGAGGTTTTACATTTAAACACTTTCAATGAGATTTATACACTTTATTAAAATTGTGACCATTAAAATTGTGGTTCATAACTCTATCATAGAGTATAAATTAAATTTATCAGTAATTGTAAATTGTGATTATCCCTCAGGAGCATCAAAGCACAAAGAAACAGTATATGGATAAACAAACTTAATTAAAATTAAATTTCAACTGGAAAATAAAATTGGTCACTACTCAACAAAATATAAAGTTTTTGAATGTGGTGATGTTTTTGCATTTCCAAGGTAGTAAACCTATTATGTTCAATTATATATAAAGTTGTATTGCTGTAATACATACAGTAGATCTAGAGAGAGATATAGACATACGACATCCCTGCAATATATTAGAAAGCTTACACACTAAACACACATTTTCTCCTGCTAAAAGCTGCAGTTAATAATATTTGTATTTGTTTTATTATGTATAGACTGTCCATTCATATACTCTGTTATCTTTATGGTTCATGTTGAGAATGTGGTGATGTATACTGACTATTCTCTCACAAGGAGTGTATGAAATCTAATTTCAAACTTAAATTAGATTATTATTAATAGTAGTACTGTATATATAGTGCAAAACACATTCGGGTTTTATGGTGTGGTTCAAGAGTCAACAGTCTTTATGTATTAATGTACAGCTTAGCTCTGGCTATTATACTGAGAAATCATTACCTCTATGAAACCTGTTACTGGTCAAAGTACAGATTTTTAATACTGTATTAAGGTTGAAACAGCTGTTGGTGCTAATTAATTTTGACCTTAGGTATGCAGTGGAATTACAAGTCTGTTTGGAAACTAACAAAGCTAATTGCCATAATATACATTATTTTATACAAATGTGGAGACCTGAATTCACCTATTTAGTCACTGTACTGTAAATAAGAGTTAAGATAACATAGATAGGGTAGTATTGTGAGGCAAGCAATAAAATAGTTTTTTTTTTCTCTTATAGCTTTACATTTCCAGTCAACAAGAAAAATAACATTTGCACTGAGTACCCTCTACATAATGCACAACATGTGATGCCTAATATAATTAAGTCTTCGTTAGGAGCTGTAATGTAGAAAACATAATCTGTATTCCATTCTGATTGTAATGCACAAGATGTCTGACAGTGTAGTGACACACACCATTCTCAGTTTAGTTCACATCTCTTAATCTCTTAATTACCTTCAGTATCTACAATTCAAAAAATGTGCAGAGTCTGATTCAAAATTCTGAATTAACTGAGAAGCTATTGAGTTGTGCAAAGAGCTGTCAGGAACTACTGACGTTTGATCATTTTTTTTTCCTCTGGGAAAGG